ACCATTCAAGAGTGAAATGGAGAAACAATCTTTTGCACAAAAAATAGGACAAAATGGGAACTCAGTAGTCACAACTGGAATATTTTTATTGAGTTAGAGGTATCAACAGACATGGAGCAAAGGCAGGTTAGTGAAGTTGTGACACATGTCATCTAACATATAAATGAATAGTGGAGCAGCTTTGAGGGGCTAAATGATTTGCTCCTTTTTCATTGATTTTAGTTCAGATAAAGAAAAGGAGAGATGAAAATGAAGGCGTGAAAGAAAAGTTCTTCAGACCACTGTGGGTGGTCTTTTTACTTTCTGACACCTTCGGTTTTGAATGAATAAATTTTATGTTAAATGGTAATGATGCATTTTTAATACTTTTTTAAATGAATGTTTTAAATTTGCTTATGCCATTGAGCATAATTAAACATACATAAGACTTAAAACAGATATGGATGTGTTAGGTTTTTTTAACCATTGTTGATAAAACGAGTAATGTCAGTGGAACATCTTATGCAAGAAAGGGAAAAAAATACCCAAAAATGTCTAATAGTGGAAATAATTGTAATGATAATCATCTTTTGTGTTAAACCAGTGATTTGAATATTAAATTCTAATTATGTTTGGTTCAAGACAAAGGGACTATTTCTATTGATTAGATACATGGTTGTAATATATTTAATGCTTTACCTAGATTTCTGGTCCCTTGATCCCTTTAACCACATAATGCAAGGATTGCTAAGATTTATTCATCCATCTCCCAGCCTGACGCCACATTTCAGAAAGGCAGTACAAACGCCCAACCAGTGAAAGGGACCTTGATGTTTGTGAGGACAGAGTGAAACAGGCTGATATACTCGAACAGGTTGATGTTAGGAAGGAGAACATGCTAGAAATTTTGAAAAAATGTGAGGATAGGTAAGTCCCCTGGGCCAGATGGGATATACCCAAAATTTTATGGGAAGCGAGGGAAGAGATTGCTGAGCCTTTGGCGATGTTCTTTGCGTACTCACTGTCCCCTGGAGTAGCACGAGATGATTGGAAGGTGGCAAATGTTATTCCATTGTTCAAGAAAGGGAATAGGGATAATCGTGGGAATTAAAAACCCATCAGTCTTTCCTCTGTAGTGGGCAAATTATTGGAGAGGATTCTGAGAGATAGTATTTATGATTGGAAAAACTTAGTTTGATTAGAAATAGTCAGCATGACTTTGTGAGGGGCAGGTCAAGCCTCACAAGCCTTATTGAATTCTTTCAGGATGTGACAAAACACATTGAAGGTTGAGCAGTGAATGTGGTGTATATGGATTTTAGCAAAATATTTGATCAGCTTCCCCATGGTAGGCTCATTCAGAAAGTAAGGAGGCATGGGATTCAGGGAAGTTTGGCTATTGGATACAGAATTGGCTGTCCAATAGAAGACAGAGGGTGGTAGTAGATGGAAAGAATTCAACTTGGAGCTCGGTGACCAGTGGTGTTCCACAGGGATCTGTTTTGGGACCTCTCCTCTTTGTGATGTTTATAAATGGCTTGGATGAGGAAGTGGAAGCATGGGTTAGTAAGTTTGCTGATGACACAAAGGTTGGTGGAGTTGTGGATAGTGTGGAGGGCTGTTGTAGGTTGACAGGATGCAGAGCTGGGCAAAGAAGTGGAATTCAACCCGGATAAATAAGTGTCAAGTGATTCATTTTGGAAGGGCAAATTTGAATGCAGAATAAAGGGTTAATCCCTGGATTCTTGGCAGTGTGGAGGAACAGAGGGATCTTGGAGTCCACGTCCACAGGTTTCTTAAAGTTGTTACCCAAGTTGATAGGGTTGTTAAGAAGGTGTATGGTGTGTTGGCTTTCATTGGCAGGGGAATTGAGTTTAAGAGCTGCGAGGTTATGCTACAGCTCTATAAAAGCATTGTTAGACCACACTTGGAATGTTGTGGTCAGTTCTGTTTGCCTGATTATAGGAAGGATATGGAAGCTTCAGAGAGGGTACAGAGGAGATTTACCAGGATGCTGCCTGGACTGGAAGGTAGGTCTTATGAGGAAAGGTTGAGGAAGCTAGGGCTTTTCTCATTGGAGCGAAGAAACATGAGAGGTGACTTGATAGAGATGTACAAGATGATGAGGGACATAGATAGAGTGGATAGCCAGTGAATTTTTCCCAGGGCAGAAATGACCATTATGAGGGGGCATAATTTTAAGGTGATTGGAGGAAAGTGTAGGGGAGATGTCAGAGGTAGATTCTTTAGACAGAGAGTGGTGGGTGTGTGGAATGTGCTGCCGGTGGTGGTAGTGGAGTCAGATACATTAGGGATATTTAAACGACTCTTGGATAGGCACATGAATGATAGTAAAATGTAGGGTATGCAGTGTAGGATATGTAGAGTAGGATAATTGGTCGGCACAACATTGTGGGCCGAAGGGCCTCTGCTGTGCCGTACTGTTCTATGTTTTTATATTTCTATACTGGTTCATAATTGGTTGCTTTTGGATTGTCTATATTTGATTAAAAGTACCGTTGCTGGTTTGCAATGGAAATACTTGCTTAGATACAATATGTTAATTGGGATTGTAAATGAACACCCTTAGTAATGTGTGTTATGAGCAGAATACTTTTAAAAGCAGCTATGCAAGATTAACTTGCTCCAATGTTGATCTCTGCTACAATCAATCAATGTCTATGTATGGTTTCTTATACTTATCAAATACATGATACCTGAACTGATGCAAATAATATTTCAAGCTTTCTAGTGCTCTAGGGAGATCCTTTAAAAATTAATTAAAGAAACACTTCATATTGTACTCGAGATAGTAGGAACTGCAGAATCTGAGACAACAAGGTGCAGGGCTGGATGAACACAGCAGGCCAAGCAGCATCATAGGAGCAGAAAGGCTGACGTTTCGGGCCTAGACCCTTCATCAGAAAAGGGGGAGGGGAAGGGGGTTCTGAAATAAATAGGCAGAGAGTGGGAGGCGGATAGAAGATGGATAGAGGAGAGGATAGGTGGAGAGGAAACAAACAGGTCGAAGAGGCGGGGATGGATCCAGTAAAGGTGAGTGTAGGTGGGGAGTTAGGGAGGGGAAGGTCAGTCCAGGGAGGACGGACAGGTCAAGGAGGCAGGATGAGGTTTGTCGGTAGGAGATGGGGGTGCTGCTTGAGGTGGGAGGAGGGGATAGGTGGGAGGAAGAACAGGTTAGGGAGGCGGAGACGAGCTGGACTGGTTTTGGGATGCGGTAGGGGGGAGGGGAGATTTTGAAGCTTGTGAAATCCACATTGATATCATTGGGCTGCAGGGTTCCCAAGCGGAATATGAGTTGCTGTTCCTCGGGGACCGCTTTGCAGAACACCTACGCTCGGTTCGCAATAAACAACTGCACCTCCCAGTCGCGAACCATTTCAACTCCCCCTCCCATTCCTCAGACGACATGTCCATCCTGGGCCTCCTGCAGTGCCACAACGATGCCACCCAAAGGTTGCAGGAACAGCAACTCATATTCCGCTTGGGAACCCTGCAGC